CCTCGTGCTGCCGCCGGAGAATAAAGCCCAGCTCTGCCCCTGCGCCTCCGGGCAGCCTCTGCAGCTCTCGCCATGGAAGGCTTTGATCGTATCACACCGTTGAACAGAAGTTTCAGTTTTTCCCTGAGCTGGTGGTATGGAGTGAGGTTTCTGTCTTGACTTCCAGCTTTTTTCTTTTTTTTTTTCCCCCCATGGAGTTGTTCTGCAAAAGTCCTCTGTATCAGTAATTTCAATCTGAGACAAGTAGGCAGGGTACGTTTTCGGTTTCTTGGCCTGGCGGCATTAGGTGGGTGATATCATCTAATGCGCTACCTACTATTTTGATACTTGATTAAAAAATACGTGCTTGGATGTTAGAAATGCTGATTGCTGCCACCAAAAAATCCCATTCCAGTTTTGGAGCATCTGAAAAGTTTTCTAGCAGAGTCTGCCCAGCTGGCACCATCCCAGGGTGGAAAATTTACAGTCAAAGTCATACTTGACCCGATAGTGAGATTCTCATAAGCCTTAATAGCTTCCCGCTACAAAAGCTTCACACATGTTTTACATAGTATTTCCATGTATATATGTTTACTCCATGTTCTCCCTATCCAATGGAAAAAAGTTTTTTGAACAGGGGAACTAGATTTTTATTTTACATCTGCGAATAGTCGCCCACCGGCCCCAAGTACAGATGAACACTTACAGCCCTTTCCTCTCTCTGCCCACTGCAACATCCCCTTTCCCATCTCCCACGTCCGTCCTCTCCTTCACCTCTCCCTGTCAGGTGTGACTGGGTGGGCAGGGAAACGTGCAGACCGGCCAGCCGACGCACAGGGGTGGTTTGGCCCCTTGGTTTTTGTCTTTTGAAGTAAGTAAGATGTACCTTTCTTGCAGATGCTGTACTAAGCTGTGTGTGTGCCGCCGCTCTAGACCCAGCATAATCGCGTAAGCCGTGTTTTCACAGGAAAGCAAGCCCCTGCGAGAGAAGCTGAGGCACTCCGGGTGCCACGCTGGGTAAAACGGCTGCTATTCCAGCAAAAGCCGGTTCATTGTTACAGAGAGACACTGAAGAGACAAGAGACAAAAATAAAGTAAGAAATTTGCATTGAATATTTATTTTGATAAACATTGTGTACTCCAAACAACTACACACGTTACCTCGGTTGTAAGCCACAATCTGTTGGAACCAACGTCCCAAGAGCTCTTGTCATCATAAACCAGACAGTCAACGCATTACCACGGTCTGCGGACATAGAGAGCTTTGAAGTGCAAAGCGGATTATCAGAAAAGACGTATTGCTGACCTCCTTAACAGCCTGGACAATGCCAAACTCCAGTAAAAATGCTTCATATGTCTGCAATTTAGTTGTCTTAGTGCCATTGTAATAAATTAATAGAAAATATATCTTTTTTCATTGGAAAGTCTATAAGAAAATGTACAAACATCTAACTCCGAAAAAGGACCAGCTATTTCGGCGACAGGTAAAACAAGCATTTGAATAGAGGCCAAAAACCCAAACATCCAAACAAACAGACAGACAAACAAAATGCAATCAAAAAAACCCCACTCTACCAATGGCAACTGCGTAGGCAAACACGGAAACATTTGCAGTAATAAAACCTTACAAAGAGGATAACTGCAGCGTGTGCAGGGACTGTTAAAGGATGTACAAAGCACAAGCAGTCAGGTAACTCACTAGACAAAATGTGCGCGTGCGATTTCTGGAACAGTCAAAGATTAAAATGTGATCATATGGCACAAAACTATTGCTGACTGGTGTCGGTATTAGGCTTTGTTCTGCCTTTGGAGCAACCCGCTGGCTTGATCGTGTAAAGGTGGATGGGAGCCCTTCGCGTTCCACAGGCGTGGCTGCCCCTTACGCTGCTCCCACGCTCTGCTGTCCCTCAGGCTTACAGACTGCAGTGATCCCGCTCCCCGTACTCACAGCGTGAGACCCACCCTGGCTCCAGAACAGGCCCCATGTGACAAGCTTTGCGTGATAAAACAAGCTAGTTACAAGTTTTCTTCTCTTAATAAGAATTTTTAGGAAAGAAAAAAAAAAGTTTTCCTAGAGCCAAGTCTTACGAATTCACCCTGAGAATTCCCAAAATTGTAAAATCAGAAGCTACACTTCAGCACAAAGGCAGCATGCTCATAGAAGCTGAACAAACCAGTCTAGGGGATAGACCCACCTGGCATGATCCTCCTGGGCATTTACACACCTGCGGAGAGCAGGAGAAGGGAAATCGCTGGTCACCCAGTGACTCAGTGCAGCCCCTGCCCCGGGGGGTCGTACAAAGCCAAGTCCCAGACCAAGTACGTTCTGAGCCCGGCTTTACTGCTCATGAAATACAAACTCCTGCTTTGGTCCGTCTCTTGGAAGCAAGTGAGTTCCACTAACACCAGTGCAATGATACCAACAGAATTGCCTCGGGACAGTGCAGATGTTTAGATAACCCAGACTAACGTACTCATGGGACTTTTCTTTTAGTCTGTTTGCTCGACCTCAGGGATCTGGCTTTATTTTGGCTATCAAAGAACAGGAGATAAACAACTTTTGGATAATCATGGTTGAACAACAAGTGAGACTGACTTTTTCAAAGAATACTTTGTGAAATCCCCAAGCCATCAGGGAAAACCCCCACCTTACTTGCCTTTTACCAGTGCTGCCCATTCATTCTGGAAAAGGCACAAATGCCTAAAGACCATTCATTAACAGACTTTCGTTGAGAAGCAAGGGAGGGAAAACTTGGCTCCTCTTCTTTTTTTTTTTTTTTTAAAGTACAATACACATGACATTCAGCAAGTTCAAAACAACTATATCGTAAGACCGAAAAGAAAACTTCCAGTTTCAAAACCCAGGAGAGGCTTGAGGGGAATGTAACCTACAGTACTACCTAAATTTTGCTCATGGTTGCTTTGACTTTCAGAGCAATTTACCTAAACCAGGCTTATAGAGTGTAACACCTGCCCAGCCTTTGGAATGACACACAAAACATCTGCTCTTTCAGTCTAGCTGCAAGATAGCATTTTGGATACAGTGGGAAAAAAGCAACTTAATTACATGAGCTCTAATTAAAACACAGCAAAACAAATAACGATCAGCAACTAGAGTAATTTCTGTAGTAATGGGGACAGGCAGAGGGAAGAAAGGACAGGCAGTGGGGAAACAAATCCAGATATTACTGGCAAAACTGACATTCTATGTGCTTTGAAAAACTCATCATCCTAGCTGTTACATGCCCCCTCCCCTTAGATTTCTTAGAATAGCCACAGCCTCCGGAGACGCCTTCCTGGCATTTCTGAGCAACAGACAGAAGCATCACTGAACACTAGAAGTGCTTACAAGGTTTTACAAGATAATGTTTAATTTCCCAGCTTTACGAGATGTCCCCGTAGGAGTCCTGATTCACGCTAATCTGCCTTCATTACCCAGATATTGCTCTGAAGAAGGGGGAAAGGAGCTACGAGACATCCAACTAGTGTATGGGGATTCCCACTCTAATTCTTCAGTTACCTGGTAAGACCTCTGTCATCTTCCATCCAGATCTCACATAACTCTTCCACGTAACTCTTCCAGGAGGACCAAGACACTCACGCTCTTACGCCTGAGACAGGATCAGAAAGCAACACACAGCAGCGCAGTCTGATCCCATTCCCTCTGACCTCCTTGGAGCCTTGAGGCTGAATAAGGGGAGTGCCGGCATTCCCAGTTGAAAACTGGAAGCCTTGAACAGGATGCTGTCTTTGACTGGCTACCATAAACCCTCCAGATTGGTCCTGAACATCATTACAGGGGGGACTGTATGGGAAAGGCTGAGAAAATGTATGTGCTACTTGACATTGCTTTCCTTCCAGCCTACAGCTGCTTGTTGAAAGAAGACTTCCTATTTGAGTAACCACTATTAAAAACCCTTGATCCATAGGAAACATGCAGTTTTCTGAGCAAGCGGAAAGATGTGGTTTCATCAGTCTCCACCGGCATGGTTTATCTTCTCCTTCTCTCATCTCTTCCCCAACTATGTGCCGTGGGTTAGCATGTACAACACAGATCCCAAAAAGCTTGATCAAACATCATAGAAGCTTTAGGATAAATTCTTACTGTCCAGTTACGTTTCCCAGCATCTAGGTAATCATTCAAATATACTGCATCTTATATTTTTCAACCAGCCTTTCAATTGGCATTCCGTGTTTATATGAGCAGCTAGTTACACTACGGGGAACAAAAAAAAGTGTTTGGACAACTTAGAGGCTGGTAAAAGCAATAATCCTCAATGGCCTTCAGACCCAGAGCTCCCCCTTCAAGAGGCAGCACATAAGTTAGTCTGTCACAGGGGTGCTGATAAAACCAAAACCTTCTAAAACTGGTCAAACCTTGCTTAGTAACATGAGAATCAACAAGGCATTGGTGAGCAAGTCAGCCGGCGAGGAGCTGGCGATCACAGAACATACGCTGATCAGAGAGGAAGGCTTTTCTGTCACATGTGGCCACTCTAGCTACTTACAGTAAGATTTCTTTTTGAACAATGACAACAACAACAAAATGCTACACCTCTGGAGCAGGCTGTCAAGGTGCCTGCGGTGAGCAGTCAGTAGTCTGTCCCACGGGGCAGTGCTGGCAGCCAGAAGGCAGAGCAGTGTGTCCTCATAATTTCATTTTCTTCACCACAGGAATTGGCAGTGCTTGATAGATTTTAGCTGAGTCCTCATCAGTGACCAGCTTCACCCAGACAGGGCGGAAGCTGCCTCTGAATCCAACAAAAGCCATTTTTTCTGCAATAGAAATACATATACGTATTTGTACATATACAAATACATTAGGAGTGTGTCGAGGCTGCGCCAGAAACGCACCCGTGCACGTGGCTACACCCACACGGCCGGATGGATGCAGGTGGACAAGAGCACACGTGTGCACACAAACTTTGCCAAGTATGCGTTCTCCAGGTATTAAAGAAATACTTTCCTAATGAAGCTTAACTAAAATTTTATTTACATGTTGCATGCTTCCATTGATTAGAATGCGTGATACATAGCAGAGGAGAAAGAGAGGAGGAAAACCCCTTCCTAGCAGGCAGCTATCCGTTGAAGCTATCATTATTTGCATGGTGGTTATACTCAAAACCCTCTCCTGCTTGGGGAAGGTGGGGGGATGATGAGGGACAGGACAACAGACAAGACCTCTGTTAGCGAGTATAAGAGAGACACACACACAAAAGAGGAACGTGTGGCAAAAGCTCACAGTTAGAGCTGATCAGAGCAACGTGCACAATAAAGCAATATTCTAGTGTAATATGTGATGCTTTGGAACTGATATGCTTTGTGCCATCAAGTGCAAATTTTGTTTCAAGAGAAAATCAGCTAAAAATAAGTTCAGAGACGTAAAAAATCCTGTTTCGGGGCATTTGGGGGGAAAAAAGTCTAATATTCCTATAGTTAAAATGCCTTTTTATTTAAAATGAATCTGGAAAATCAAGCCGCTTGAATTCTTTGCTGCTAAGAACAACTGCCAGAGCACTTTTTCCATCTCCAGTATTAAACTGAGTGCTGTTATCCAAAGCTGCAGTGGATACAACCTCACTGAATAACTAAATGACTGGTCCCAGGATGTTTGAGCACATGCTGATAAAAACTAGCAAGGCAAAGCTTAGAAGAAACAAAAAACGATCCTTTTACTGGAACCATGGAAGGGGAACAGATCAAAGGGAAGGAACAGAACAAATGCAATTTAAAAAACGCATTTTAAAAAGTGGTTACCTTTTAACCTTAAACCCTCTTCTGCTCCAAGCTTCTCCAGGACTTTAGTCCATGGTCCTCTTGAAATGAATCTTCCTTTAGATGTCACCAGCACTATAGAGCTGGAGGAAACAAAGCCATTTATAAACAGATGAAGAGTCAGAACACACTCCTTGCTTGTCTGTCTTGCGCATGGGTAAGCCCTGCCTGTGTGACTCAGAGACACTCATGAACTACTGTGGTTTCTGCTTTAATGGCTTTTGTCAATGCTTTCCAACAGCTTAGTCATATATTCACTTTTCCAATCATGCAAAACCCATTAGGAAGCTGACAGAAGTAACTTTTTTTGTTTTTAAACACTGTTTTCTAGAGTGATTTAAATGTTTTCAACTAGCAGTTCCAGCCTGCTTTGCTCAGAAAGGAACATGCTCTCCCTGGGATGCTCTGAGCAAGTCTCACATAATTTATTGTTCATACATCATTAGCAGGATAAAGCCTGAAGAAATTCACTTCTTTGAGATTTTTGCTGGCTTGATGCTTTTCCTTCATTTTCAGTGTGCTTTTGCTTTAAAAGTCCATTATTATTATTATTATTATTATCATCATCATCATCATCATCATCATTAGCTTTACTTGCCTATATTGTATTTTACCTCAAAATTCACAAGAGACATGAGGAAAGTGCGTTAAGCTAGTGCAAATCTGTAAATGCTTGGGTGAAAGTCAGTAACTGCCTAAGCTTAATTCTAAAAGGGTGGAATAAAATCCCAAATTCAACATGAGGGGATAATCTGAGAGTGAGAATTGTCCATAGAGAAGCACCGGCCACTCGGTGACGTTACCCTCCTTACTTCCTACAAGATGCACAACCACCTCCGATGGCTATCTCAAAGCGTATGGAGGAAGAGCTATGCTCCAGGGAGTTCAGTGGAAGTCTCGCTGTCAAGCTCAGCGGGGCTGGGATAACCATGCTTGTTCAGCTCCTGATTAAAGCTGCATCACAGAGTAATTGAGCAAACGCTTAGATGAAATTATTTCGTTCCACCTTGCAGGGTTTCCATGGATGAAACTTCCCTGACTCAAACAGCATTTGCAATCTTGCAGAATGAGCCTTGCTGGGTCTGCTTTCCCGCACCACGGTGGACAGAAGTCACTAAAATTAATTAGACAACAGGTCCCGCAGAGCTCAAGCCCTGAGCTACTGAGTGCAGCAGTTACATCTTAACACCTCAGCTGGAACTAGAACTGTTCAGGGCAAAATAGCAACGGGTGGTGGCAGAGGAACAAGAGGAGCAAAAGAGTTAAGAGTCATCAGGACTTTTCCTAGAATAAACCCAAGGTGTTAAATTACGCCGCTGCTTACAAGAGTGGATTGAGCTGGCAGGCTGGCTTTGAGTACTTTGTGAATGCTGAATCACCTTTTTTTTCTTTCTTCAGTTCACTAAAATCATTACTCCCTATTAAGCCTTTCCTGCTATGGAAGTTTAAAATAAATTCACCAGATATTTTGTTTTCTTATCCCTGGGAAACTCATCAGAAAAGTGTATTTATTAAAAAAAGGGGAATTCGGCCTGCAGAGAGTTGCTTAAATGAACAAAGAGGCTTGTCCTTGCTAGAAACACCTCTTCTTGCATCCCCAAACCCATAAACCTAAAAATTGTTCTAGCAATTTCTACACAAGAGGCTGGCAAGGCCGGCGGGACCCCTTCCCCTCCGTTAGCACCATCTCTCTGTACCGTCCGTGCTCCACAGCCTGGCGGGGAGAGGTGACAAGAAGTTGCTGGCCATCTGCACGGTGTCCACATCGGAATCTGAATAACACTTTCATCCAGAAAAGGGAGGAAAGATGCCTCATGGCTGTAGCTGAAGCCTTTGCCTGATCAGATTGAAAGGCTTGCAGGGGATGGGCTGGGAAAACTTTTGGTGAAAGAAGGATGATAATTTGGGAGTTCAATCCTTGCAAAGACACAGCTGAGTGAGACCTGAGAGGTGCTAACCATGCCGGATCAACTTCCAGTCCTAATCCTAATCCTAGTCCAGTTCCAACACTAATCCAGATAAGACAATGAGGCTCAGAAAGACTTAAATACACCCAAAGTCTAGTGACAATTCCATCCTCTAAAGTAAGAAAGAATCCAGGAGCTGGATTTAGCCAGGATTGAGATTGGATTTTTTGCAAGGGAGGACGATAGCCTCTCTGAAAAGCTCTCATTTTTTTAATGAAAGAAAAGTGAGCAACTACCATGCGTCTCTGCAGTAACTACTCGATGTATTTTTTGTAACCTTCCAAAGTATTTAAGACAATAGAAAGACATCTGTATCCACCTGCATGGCATCCTGCTGCAACTTCCCCCAAGTCTCTAGAATAAATGCTAGAACAATAATATCCTGCCAATCTGCCTACAGTTATTTCAGATGATTCATCAACAAAGCAATCATATTTGTATGAAATGTTAACATACCAGATTTCAAATCAAAACAGACTTAATAACAATGAAATACATTCATTTCCCAACAGCAGCCCACAAACTAGTATGAGAGCAACCCCGTTGGTTAAAGGGTTTCTGATGATGTTCCCAATGTTATTCCAGTAGGTGAACCCGCTGTCCTCCAGGATGCAGGAACATGTGTTGGCTACTTACCACCCACTCCCAAAACTCTGGTTTTCTGGCTGCCCATACTTAAAAAATAAAAGCATCCAGCCCTTAGGTCTGGGCAGGGAACATGTGCAAAGAAGAATGTATTTTATTAGTGGAATTTTCTGCAGTTTGAGAGAGTATGCAGGCAATAGAAAAATGTAAACTGTGCACATCAGTACCAATTAGTGCTGAGAGTTTATCTGTGAATTTAACTCCGCAGTTTGTCTGGAACCCACAACATAAATGTAGATCTGCAGTTTATTAATCAAATGTAGCTCTGCAGTTTGTCTGGGGCTTGATCAGTCCCTAAATCACAGAGTCTGCATCCTTCTGTTGCCTGCACGTCCTGCTCACATTTGGACTCCGTTGGAGTCAGCAGGCACAAACGCACGTCGTTAGCTGGGTCAATCTGGCCCATGTTGGGTGACAAAAACCAGGAAAAAGGTGAGTCTTGTACAGCATTCTTGTACATTGCACCTTAGTAACACCCGGTTATTTACTCACTGATCTTTGATGTTGTTGACATAGTTTTCTATCTGTGCTGGGATTCCTTGTAGAATTGAGTTTTTGAATGTTACTCGATCAACAACTTTTCCATGATGTCCATCAATCACAACCAGCTGGATACCCTCATCAGTGAGGAAAAACCTGACGCCGTCAACCTGTGCATGGGGAAAAACATTCTTGATCTACCACAGTAACACAATTGCAAACAACCACCTGCAAGATGCACTGACAATGTTGAGTCATGGGACTACTCCTTCTATCAAAGGGCAGAATTCCAGATCTCTGAGGTCAAGCTGTCCTGCATTTTTGCTAATATGGGGAAGTTACAGCCATTTTTTTCCGCAAAATACAAAGCGATCTGAAACTAACTATCCATGGTGACTTCGTAAGCAAGTTTTCCATAAAAATGAAGCAAGTATATTAGAATTTTGTCCCATAAAGTTCACTGAGAGGACCTGCTCACCTCAATGTATGCAAAATCATCCTTTAGGTGGAAGTACTGTTTCTTATAAGTTTCTATTTTCACTTCTAGTAGGTGGTCCTTAGTTTTCTGTTAAAAAAAAAAAAAGAGAAAAGAGAAAAGAGTTTTTCTAGTGAGGATGTCCATTACCTGAAAGCTGCATTTTCAGAAAGCATTTTGAACCTTGAAATTCAATCAACAAGAAAGCTACATAATAAGCACTGACTTGCCAAATTACATTGCTAATGAGACCGGGCACAATGGTAACCTCTCTGCTCATCCTGTCAGCATTTAAATTGTTTCACCAAATGGCACAGTATAAGTGATTCTCACTTTGCAGAGCTGACACATAGTTCTCTGA